TATAGAGAGAAGTAACCAGAAAAATAATAATTATAAAAAACAACAGCTGTGAACTGCCATTGCAACCTTTGATCTTCGACGTGGTCTCTGTGCTTCAAACCCATGGGGTTTAGTGCGCCTGGGCTGAACCAGATCGGTGTTGTAGCAGGCTCCAACGGATTTTCGTGCCCAAACCTCGGGCAGGTGCAGGAACCCCTACTGCGCATGCCCAGAGGGACGGGCACGGACATCCCGCCAGTTCTCTTCTGACCGCCACACTGTTCGTAGCTCTTTTTGGTCAGTGAACTTACCTCAGTAGTTTTTTGTCAGTTAGTAGCATTCGGATTCCTCAGGACTCATTCTTCTTGTTTTTCTTTAATTCACCCGTCAGCTTTCAATAAATAAATAAATAAATGAGGTGCCTTGTGTGTCCCCCCCCAACCGCCTTTTTGTCTCTCCACGCCTGTTCTTAGTATGGCGAAAAGGAATAAAAAGGGGGGGGGGGGGTTTTCAACCGCTGTACCTTTTGTGGAAGCAAATTGGCCCCTCCGGACGGCCACACGCTTTGCCTATTCTGCCTGGGGGAGGCTCATCGTCAAGACTCCTGCCCTTACTGCGCTAAATTCTCAAACAAAACACGGAAGAACTGCGTTCATGGAGGGCCCGTTCTTCCTCAGGGGGCCAACGTCCGTCCTATCAGCAACGTCCTCGGTTCTCAAACAAAACACGGAAGAACTGCGTTCATGGAGGGCCCGTTCTTCCTCAGGGGGCCAACGTCCGTCCTATCAGCAACGTCCTCGGTTTGGCCAGGGACAACAATCCAATAGATTTAAGCCTGCGAAGCCATCCAAGCAGGTCTTTAACTTTTTGTCCTCCCCACCCCACGACGCCCACCTGGCAGCTTTCCTTCTGGCCTGGCGGGATATTACAACAGACTCTTGGGTCCTCTCGGTGGTAACCTCTGGTTACCTTATAGAGTTTACGCACCTCCCTGTCCTACCTATATTTGTCTGCACACACCCCTCCCCGGCCCTACTGGAAGAGGTCGCGGGCCTTCTCGCCAAGAATGCCATCGAACTGGTACCACCTTCAGAACAAGGCAGGGGATTCTATTCCCGTTACTTCATCGTCCCGAACCATGATGGTGGTGGTGTTCGCCCGATCCTGGACTTGAGAGGACTCAATACCTACGTCCAGTACCGCCGTTTCCAGATGGTCTCCCTTCAACAAATTCTGCCACTGCTCCAGAAAGGAATGTGGATGGCCACCTTGGACCTTCAGGATGCTTATTTTCATTTAGCAATACATCCTTCACACAGGCACTACCTCCGGTTTGCCATAGGTCAACACCACTTCCAATACACGGTTCTCCCCTTTGGCCTCTCCAGCGCGCCCAGGGTCTTCACCAAAACTATGGTTGTTGTGGCAGTGTTTCTCCGTCTCCAGGGGATCAGCGTCTACCCGTACATCGATGACTGGCTTCTACTTCTCCGTCACATATGGGATACCCTCAGGTTGCTCAACATGCTGGGCCTTTGGGTGAATACCGACAAGTCCCACCTACAACCTGCCAAACGGGTACAGTACATAGATGCGTGCCTGGACTCCATTCACTGCCGAGCTTTTCTGCCAGAGGACAGGGCCCGGTGCATCATCGACCTCGCCAAATTTGTTGCCTCTCAGCCCACGGTAACGGCACTGCTGATACAACGGTTACTCGGCCTGATGGGCGCCACTACGTTGGTCCTCATCTTTGCGAAACTGTGGATGCGCCCTCTTCAACTATGGTTCAGCTGCAACTTCGATCCAGCAAGGCATCTCCAAACACTCAGTCTGTCCGTCCCTCCGGATATACAGAATACTCTGTTGTGGTGGACTTCCCCAAACAACCTTTCCCAGGGGGCCCCCTTTTATCCTCCAGCACCTACCGTGACCTTGAGAACAGACGCGTCGCAATGGGGATGGGGGGCACATCTCCAAGGCCTCTGCATCGGGGGCAGGTGGTCTCCAAGCTTCCGAACTTGTCACATCAACTTCTTGGAACTCTTGGCGATAGAATTCGCCCTCCACTCCTTCCTGCTGTTAGTCCAAGGGCGATGTGTGGCTGTACTCACGGACAATACCACAGCACTCAGTTATGTAAACAGACAAGGGGGCACTGTGTCCCGTTGCCTCTGTGATCTGGTGATTCGTTTGTGGAACTGGTGCCTGTCTCAACGCATCCATCTGATTACAACCCACATACCTGGCCACCTGAATATTCAAGCAGACAGCCTCAGCCGAGGAAACCTTCGTCTGCACGACTGGGAACTCAGTTGGTCATACTTTCGGCCTCTCTTCCACAGATGGGGGCATCTGCAGGTGGACGCCTTTGCCACTAGATCAAACAAAGTGCCCGAGGTTTTGCAGCAGAGGGGGCATGGACCCACTGTCCCTGGGAGAGGGGCTCATCTGCCCCTGGACCCGGGACTATCTCTTCCTGTTTCCCCCACGTCCGCTGCTTCTGCGAGTCGTGCACAAGATTCTCAACAACAACGCATACTGCATTCTGGTATCCCCGTGGTGGCCACGCCAACCCTGGTTCGCAACATTCCTGGACCTATCCCAGGGCATCTTCCATCACTTCCCTCCGGCACCGGATCTCCTGTTCCTCTCAGGAACATGGCTACTGCATCACGATGTCTACCGCCTCAAACTGACGGCTTGGAGGGTGTGTCACAGGGATTCTCCTCACGTGTGACTGAGGTCTTATCAATGCTAGGAAACCCTCCACACATAAATCCTATGCATGCAAATGGAAAAAGTTTTGTTCTTTTATGGGTGTGCCCGCTTCTCAAGCATCTCTGGCTGGTCTGACAAGGATCTTTGATTTTCTGTTATCCTTGGCCGACTCTGGTTTGTCACAATCCTCGTTAAAAGTTTACCTAGCCGCCTTATCGGCGTACCATGTTCAAGTTGAGGGACACTCAGTTTTTTCTCATCCCCTCTCCAAACGCTTCTTAAAGGGACTCTTACATCTCTACCCTCCTGTGCAAGGTCCTGTGGAGCAGTGGGATCTTCCAATGGTCTTACGCCAGCTTACACGGAAGCCATTTGAGTCGCTTGCGACTTTTGATATGTGGCTGTTTTCTTGGACGACGGTGTTTCTCGTAGCCATCACTTCCGTGCGTAGGGTGGGAGAACTCATGGCCCTCAGGTGTGATCTACCCTACCTTAGATTCCTACCTGATGGCATCCGTCTCCTCCCAGACATATCCTTCCTTCCGAAGGTTGTGTCAGAGTTCCACCTTCAGGGGGAGATTTTCCTGCCGGACTTCTATCCTTCCCTGAAGTCTCCAGAGGAACGTCTCTACCACACATTGGACACAAAGCGGGCACTCCTCTTCTACTTATAGAGGACTCGCCCTACCAGGCGTGATCCGCACCTGTTCATCTCTTATGCCACTAAAAGGGCTGGAACTCACATCACGTCCCAGCCCCTGTCAAGGTGGATTGTTGAACTGATCCGTCTGTGTTACCTGGTTGCCAAATGTCCTCTGCCGACTCAGCTTAAAGCACACTCCACCAGGGCTGTGGCCGCTTCCACTGCAGTCCTGAAGGGCGTCTCCCTTACTGATGTTTACAACGCGGCCACTTGGTCAACACTGAATACATTCATCAGACACTATGTGATTGATGTTCGCGGCTCGACTCGCACAGCCATGGGCCGTCAGGTTCTCTCATCTGTATCGCAGTAACTACTTACCAGCACCCTCCTCCAGGTAGGATATTGCTCGCTACTCTCCCATGGGTGTGAAGCACAGAGACCACGTCGAAGATAAACAGGTTGCTTACCTATAACTGGTGATCTTCGAGTGGTCATCTGTGCATTCACATCGCCCACCCTCCTTCCTCACTGCTGTCAGACTCTAACTTGGTTTCTTGAGTTCACGGCGGTCCGAAGGAACTGGTGGGATGTCTGTGCCTGTCCCTCTGGGCATGTGCAGTAGGGGTTCCTGCGCCTGCCCGAGGTTTGGGTGCGAAAATCTGTTGGAGCTTGCCACAACACCGATCTGGTTCAGCGCAGGCGCACTAAACCCCATGGGTATGAATGCACAGATGATCACTCGAAGTTCACCAGTTACAGGTAAGCAACCTGTTCTTTCTTCTGTTGGAAAATGTTAAAATGATACAATAGACAAAGATTCAGAAGTAATTATGAACATTTTGATACTAGCCTGAATTAAAGTTGCAGCAAGAAGGCAAATGCCTGATGTACCAATTGATGCAGATTTAATTTGGAAGCAAGGGAATGTAGCTGAAATGGTGAAGTTCAAAATTTAGTAAGACTTTAGAGTGCCACACACAGTCTTTTTCTTGGTAAGATAGGAAGTATGTATTAATGACTGGAATAGACTGCAATTTGCATTTCTTTCAATATATTTTGATGGTGACTTTTTAAAAAATTATTCAATACAATAAAAAGATATGCATAACAGGTACAAGGTGAGTGTGTCTACCCAAACCATAAAAACCATATGAAATAAGTTTGCTGCAAATTCTGTTCTCTGTACAACCTTTGACCATAATGAATCTAATCTGGAAGTATCTCTGGTAGGCCATTAGTTTCACCAATATGTAGGTCTCTTTTTACGTTCATCAGCCAGTTGTGAATTTGGGGCCTGTGTTTGTTGTGGGGTTTTTAATTGCTCCCAGTTCCTAGCAAAGACCAATCTAGCTGTCATAATCATATGTAAAGCTACTATTTGAAGATTTTTAGGTGTGCCAGCTACAAAATTTAACAGTAAAAGCTCTGGCTTCTGGGGTATCTTAACTTGAGACCCATTAAAAAATCTCTGTGGAGGGACACCCAAGAGAATAGCCTACTGCATATTCGGTTCTTCTGTATGTTTGCAACATGGACTTAATATTAAAAATCTTCAGTCTATGCTATGAGTGGGTAGGGGGCAAATTCTTTCAGCACAAGTAAACTGTTCACACTGTTTCTGTGTTTATAATATATATTATTTTCCCCTTTCCAGTATAACTAACAATTCCCGGATTGCAAGTTTATTGACACAACTTGAGAAGATCAATGCAGAATGTTTGGTGGAAACCGACACCGCCAGATATGTTACATCAAAGATACTCCATCTAACTCAAAGTCAAGGTAAATACAAGTACATTATATTGAAATCAATAACAATCATACTTTCTTGAATTCCTTTTTTTTAAAGATTATCTTTCCTTTCTTAGCTGATATACAGTGTAACAGGCACAGGTGTAATTCTGAAAGCAGGGTATGATGTCCAGGAGCCAATAACCCCAAAAGGCACATCTAGGGGAACAGCAGTGGAAACCAAACCTTGCTGTGGTTCCAGAGTAGGTTGGAGAGGTTAGAGACACATGATGGTGTGTTTAGAGCCTTTGTAGTTAATACATGTGATGAAGTAAGCAGGAGCCTATAGGAACTTTATCTGGGGACAGATTCCCACTCCATTTACAGTACAAGACACATTAAAAACAAAAGATTTAACTCATTAACAAACTGGAAATCTTATGGTTTGGGTATGTATATGACATTAGTTAAAGGGAGTATTACCTTCGACTTCCAGGAAATTAGTCAGTTAAGCAATGGCAATATAAAATGGTTTGATTTCTTACAACTTATTTTATTTATTTATTACATTAGACTCTATTCCGCCCTCCCCGCAAGCAGGCTCAGGGCGGTGTACAACAGTTATCCATAAAATGCATATAAAATCTGATAAGTAATTTAAAATACAATCTTATAAATAATTAATACTCATGGTGCCATAATACAATTCTGGCTCCCCAATTTACTATACACTAGCAGTGGGCGGGGGGAGGGGTGAAAGCAGTTAGTGGACTCGATAGTTGTTAAAGACTATCCACCCGTTAGACCATTGATGTTAATAGCCATTGATGTTAAAACCGTTGCTGTCCTCAACCATATGCTTGGCGGAACACATCTGCCTTACAGGCCCTGCAGAATTGTAACAGATGCTCCAAGGCCCTGATATTAATAGGCAGAGTTCCATCAAGTTGGAGCCAGGGCCAAAAAGGTGCCGGTTCTGGTTGAGGACAGCTGGATGCTCTTTGAGCCAGGGACTTCCAATAGATGTTGATCACTTGAGCATAGTGCTCTCCTGGGGGGCATACCAGAACAGGCGATCTTGAAGGTACGCTGGTCCCTGATCGTTTAAAGCCTTAAAAGTCAAAACCAGAACCTTGAACTCTACTTGGAGCCAGTGCAGCTGGTGAAGCACAGGTTGTATGTGTGCTGTTACCAGTGTCCCCTTAAGTACCCAGGCTACTGCATTCTGGACAAGCTGTAACTTCCAGATCCACCTCAAGAGCAACACGGCATTGAGCAAATTGCAGTAATCATGTCTAGAGCCAGTTTGGTGTAGTGGTTAAGTGCGCAAACTCTAATCTGAGAGAATCGGGTTTGATTTCCCACTCCTCCCCTTGCACCTGCTGGATGACCTTGGACAAGCCATTGTTCTGGTACAGCTGTTCTTGAAAAAAGAGCATTTTCTGTGAGAGCTCTCTCAGCCCCACCTACCTCACAGGGTGTCTGTTATGGGGAGGGGAAGGAGTTTGTAAGCCACTCTGAGACTCCTTGGTTAGTGAAGGGTGGGGTATAAATCCAATCTCCTCCTCCTCCTCCTCCTCCTCCTCCTCCTCTTCTTCTTCTTCTGACTATTGTGTGGTGCAGTTGTAAAAATGCCATCCTGGCAACGTTTGTGACATGGGCCTCCATTGACAAGGAGGCATCCAGGACCGCACCCAGGCTCTTGACTGTCTGCACCTGTGTTAAAGGTGCACCACCAAGAGCCAGGAACTGATACCCCAACCCTGAATCCCCCCACCCAGCCAGAGAACCTCCACCTTTGAAGGATTCAGTCTCAGCCGACTCTGCTTCAGCCACCCCACCACAGCCTCCAAACCCTTGGCCAGATTTCCTGGGGCAGTGTCTGTCCATCCATCAAGTACAGCTGGGTGTCGTCAGCATACTGATGGCAGCCCAGCCCAAAACTCCGTGCCAGCTGAGCAAGGGGGCGCATAAAGATGTTGAACAACATTGGGGAGAGGATAGCCCCCTGAGGGACCCCATGTGTCACAGGGTATTGAGAAAACACCCACCTGACACCACCCTCTGTCCCCAGTCATGGTGAAATGAGTCAACCCACTTCAGAGCTGTCCCATGCTCTCCAGCATCAGTGAAATGGTGAACCAGCAGACCATGATCCACTGTGTTGAATGCTGCTGTCAAGTCAAGCAATAACAGTAGCGCCGACCCACCTCAATCCAACTGTCTACAGAGCTTGTCTGTGAGGGTGACCAGCACAGTCTCTGTCCTATGGCCAGGGCGGAAGCCAGACTTGAATGGGTCTAGTGCCAATGTGTCCTCCAGGAAACTCTGAAGTTGCTCAGCAGCCGCTCTCTCAACTACCTTACCCAGAAACCAGAGTTTCAAAACTGGGCAGTAGTTGGACAGATCAGAAGGATCTACAGATGGTTTCTTCAAGAGCGGTATTACCATTGCCTCTTTTAAACCCTCTTGATAGACTCCTGAACTCTGGGACAGATTGATAATGTCCATCAGAGGGCCCCATATACCTTTGCTGCCGGCTCATACCAGCCATGAAGGACACGGGTTCAAGAGGCAAGTGGTTGACTTTGCATTCCTCAGGATCCTGTCGACATTGGCCTCAGAGATTCGGCTGAAGTTGATGAATACTGAACCCAAAAGCGGCCAAGAGGCCTCTAGAGCACATACTGCATTAAATTTGGCAGGCAGGTCACAATGGAGCAACAAGACTTTATCCACAAAAAAGCTCACTAATGCCTCACAGGTTATATCCAAATTACTAGTTTTTTAAAGTTCTCCCTGTGAGAGAAGATAAGGTCCTAATTCCCCTAAATAATTGTGCTGGACGAGAGCTAGTGGATGCAGTGGAAGCTGCGTAGAAGTCCCTCACAGCAGCTTTCACTGCCACCTCAATTTTATAAGTGTCCCATATGATGCTCTTGAAGCTTCATTGCAAGACCATCACTAAATTCACTCTAGTCATCTTAGTTCCCGTTTCATCCCTCTGAGCTCTGCAGTGTACCATGGAGACAACTTGGGATGGGAGCAAAAAGGCTAGGGGGCGATTTCAATAATGGCTTCAGAGAGTTGGCACATTCAATGAATTGCCGGACATTGGATCCTGCAGACCATTCTGAAACCCAATTGGGTCCATTAGTCTCCATGGGTGAGCATAAATCTGCTCATCACCTAGACAGGAATACTCATTCAAGCCTTCAGGATATAGTGATCTGACCACAGCACTACATCAATAGCTGTCAGATCAATATCAATCCCCATCCCAAAGATCAGATCTAGCATGCATTCTGCTTGATTGTGGGACCTGATACAACCTGAGAGAGTTCCAATGCTGCCATGGAAGACACCAGGCCCATCACCTGTAAGGAAGTGACAGCATCAGCATGGACGATGAAATTCCCAAGACTATCATCATCATAGGGAATTCAAAGGCCCAGCCTTCTAAAATCTCCCGCAGACGTGGCAGTCTCTCTACTGGTGTGCTAGGCAAAAGGTACACCAGACAGATTGCCAAGCTTTCTTCAGTGTCCCAGACAAGACCAACACATTTGGTGCTGGAGATCATTGGGATGGGGAGTGCCCTGAAGGAGTAAGCCACCTGGGGGAGCAAGTTACTTCAGGGCAACTGTTTTAGCCAAACTGCTCTATTTCTTAATAATAGATTGGGGAATTATAACATTGATGAGCAATTGGCATAACTATAGGATCAGACCTGTGTATACTGGAGTTAGAATTCCCAAGAACCCAAGAATAGACACAGAGACTGAGTAGCTAAAATAATGATTTATTTACTGAATATTCTCAAGTATACAAACAATAATTAAACATTCACACAGACAATACAGAACTAAGGAAGCAGAGGTGATATGGGGTGATACTACTTGTCCAGACGTGCAGAGGTCCACAAAGAAGGGTGGACTGCCAGGTGGCATCAGGGCAGAAGCACACGGTCTGAGGCCATTTACCTGATGGATATAGACACTGGAAAACAATGCAGACGAATGGAAGGCCTAGGGGGCTGGTCTCAGGTGAGAACAATAGAATCTTCGACGTGGTCTCTGTGCTTCACACCCATGGGATGTAGTGCGCACGCGCTGGATCGATCGGTGCTGTAGCAAGCTCTTTTAACGGATTTTCGCGTCCAGTCCCTCGGGCATGCGCAGGAACCCCACCGCGCATGCCCAGAGGGTGTTAGCCGAAATCCTCTGGTGGAGGATTTATCCACTAGCCCAAATCTGTTTTATGTACAACAGGGGCTTTGCTGAGTTCTTTTGATCTGTTTATACAGAGGTCAGAATCAGAACGAACACTCCCTTTCCCCAATAAGGAGACAACACACCTGATGTTTAAAGAATAAATGTTGTCTTTACTAAATAGTATTGAAATTCACATGCATACAAATAAACAGATTCGTTCACACACGCTCACAAGTTCCTTTAGATGCAGTAGAAATGGAAGCATTCAGTATAGAAAATAATAAACTGTGACTAACAGGGAAGTAACACACAGAAGGGTAACGGTTGATACTTATCTGATCCGGGTGAGAAGGAAATCTTCTCAATGGGGAAAACAGGAACACGAGATCTATCTAGAGGGATTCTAGGCACACGGTTGAAATCAGCCAACACGTGTGGGCCTCCTGGTTTGCGCAGTCCATGAGAGCACTCAAGAATTACCTCTAGCAGAGCTTTAGTTGCCTAGGTGGGGGGGGGGGGGGGAAGTCTAGCTAGCTTGGTTTGCTAGCCGGCACAACTTAGTTACAAGGTGGGGTGGGGATGGCTAGCAACAGACAAAGGATGCTTGGCCCTTTTATCACCTGGTTTAGGGGTGGGCATGAGTGCCACCTCCTGTCCTTGTAGTCCGTCCCATGTCCTACACCTATTGG